CCCAAACCAAAATAACAAAAAAATAATGCTAGGTAATTTTTATACAAGTTAAATATTTGTCAATATCCAAGTTTTTATACCTGTAAATTATGATTATATAATAATTGGTGAGAAATATATATATATTATTTCTCTTGAATTATTTATATAATTTGATCTTCATCTTGATTTTCTTTCTAAAAATATTTTTAATTGACGAGTTTCATGTTTATAATCCCATTAAAACTAGAGGCTGTTGTACATCGATTATATTTGTGATGTTTTTGCAATAACTGTAATGAAACAATAAAACTGGCATTGTAATTTGCATAATTATTTTTTAAAATGTATTAATAACAAAATATACATTAATGTAATTGCAAAATAAAAAATTAATATATGTATTTTTGTAGCATTTTATTATTAACATCAATTTCAATCATTATTTTAACCAAATTTTTTTAACATGCTTTTTATTAAATAATAACTCCAATTACAATTTTAACTAAATATATATTTTCATTAAAACAACCATAACTAAAAATAAATTTTCTAAATTAACCTTTTTCATACCATAATCACATAATATCTGTTCATCAGAGGCATGGCCCAAATACATTATGTCCAAAATTTGCACCAATTGAGGTGCTAGCGTGCTCCACCATTTCCATGCACAACTAGACCCGACTCCACTGGTCCCTACGCAGCCCAAAATGCTATGCCACTGAATGCATTGCCCATCATGAACAGATCAAGTGTGCTCTTTCTACCTTAATACACGAAAAGATGCTGACCATCCTCATCATCACAATTCACAGCCCATCCATCATTACTTCAGAGTTCTTTTGAGCACTCAGTTGGTCCCAAACAAATTTGATCCTCAAAGCTATGAAGCATGGTTGTTAAAATCGCGATTTTAACACGGGACGGAAAGTGCTAAACAAACTCGGATCGTAAAATCGGATCGTAAAATCGTAAAATCGTAAAATCATAAGGAATTTTAAAATACATAAAAAAAAATTCATGCTTCAAATAATTCAGTCCTATAATACTGAAATGACATTCAATTCAATCAAATTCAAGAATTTTTAGTCCAATTTTCACCCCATTAATTCAGTCCAATTCAATATTTTTCAATCCAATTTTCATCTCATTAATTTAATTCAATTCAGTCTTATAATATTGAAATGACATTCAATTTAGTCCAATTCAACAGTTTTCAGTTCAATTTTCACCCGAGTAATATTTAGTCCAATTTAGTCAAGATATATAGTATATACTGTGGCATTCAATTCAACAATTTTCTCACCCGATCAATTCCATTCAATTCAACATTATACATATACAAATTACAGGACTGGGCAAAATGAATTACAGGGAAAAATACAAATCTATTAGAAGATTTTGAAGGCAAAATGAACAGGGCAAAATGCAAATCTTTATTACCGGACAATTAAACTCAACACTTAACAGGGCAAAATACAAATCTATTACAGGGGCAAAATCTACTACTGCAGTGATGATGATGAAGGCAAAATGAACTTACGGTGTCGCCCGCTGCTGTTGAAGATGATGATGATGAGCTAAACGGCTGCTTGTGAAGAGGCCCGATGTCGCCTGCTGCTGTTAAAGATGGGAAAGAAAGGAGATCGTTGCCGGCGTGCTGCTGTTAATAAAGATTGCAGAGGAAGCCCGAAGCCGTGAGCTGTTAAGGAGATTGTCGTCGGCCCGTCGCTGTTAAAATCATGATAAACAGAAAAGGAAGTAATGTTCAACCTCATATTTTGTGAGAAAAAGCGTGAGAAAAGGAAGTAATGCAGAGGAATGAATACTGAATAATGGAAAAACTTTTACAAGAAGCACATGAAGAATTCAAACCTTAATTTCAATTTTTATTCAAGAAACACTTCAATTTCAGAGACTGCAGTAGAGGTCTTTAAACATGCCAATCTTGGTTCATGTGTTGTCGCGACCGTGAGCACTAAGGAAAAAGAAGGAGTAAAAACTGGAGTCATTGGACCGTAAGCACTGTCATTGACCGCTTTTGTGGAGGATGGAGATCGCTGTCGCTGTTGTTATGGTTGCCGATTAGGGATTTGTTCAGCTGGGAAACTTGGGAAGAGTATTTTGCGCTTTGTGATTTGTGAAGATTGAAGACAATGAATTAATTCACTGAAGTGAAGAGAGTCACATGAGTCTGTGACTGTGCAAAAAAAATGCAATAGGTGCTTGACAGCTGGACAAGAGAGGAGGATTTTATTTCAGCATCTCATTTTGGCATAATCGCAAAATCGGTCCTGAAATCGCGATTTTGCACGATTTCATCCGATTTTTGCGATTTAACCCGATTTCAACCCGATTTTACCCATTTTCGATTTTTTCAAGCGATTCAACACGTAAAGCATGTTTTGACTCGTAAAATCGTACGATTTTACGAGTCAAAACGCGATTTTAACAACCTTGCTATGAAGCGTTTGTAACTGTTGAAGTAAACTCAATCTAAAAGGTCAAGAAAGGCAGCCATCAGCTGTCACCGCCCAGCCACCAGCCGCCAGCCGCCAGCCACCGGCCGCCGGCCACTTTCACACCGTCGACTAAAAACCGCCTTCACACTTGAAGGTTGAATTTTCTTGTTTTGATTTCGTGTATAAATAGATAGCTAAGCTTATGCAATTATGTGTGGAGAGATTGAGAGAAACACTAGAGAGAAAGAGAGAAAGAGAGAGGGGTTGTTGTAAGCTTTTGTTTATGTTATTGTAAGCTTTGTTCTTGAAATAAAAGAGTGTGTTTTATCCTCTCTGAGTGTTTCAAAGCCACCACAAGTGGTTTCTCCCACCAACAATTGGTATCAGAGCCCCGTTCGTCAGAAAACAGAGGTATTTTTGGGAAATATCCGAATTTTCAAAGTTGTCAAAAACAAGTTTTGATCATTCCAAAGTGTAGAGCTCATCAATACGAACTCAACGGTGCAAAAATCAGATCAATCGGAGCACGGGGTGGACCACACTCTCCGTCTGAAATTTTAGCACTGTAGCCCACGCGCCCCGAGGAAGAAGACGAGTGAGCCACACGCGCGCCATATTTGAGCCGCGCCGAGCCAAGCCTCAAGCCGAGTCGCGAGCCGAGCCACAAGCCATATTTCAAAGCCGAGCCGAGCTCCAAGCCATATTCCGAAGCCAAGCCAAGCTCCGAGCCATATTCTAAAGTCAAAGTCAAAAAATAATATTCCTTGGAATATTCCCGGTTCAACCCAACAAACCACCCCAATTGGTTTTTGGACCGGTTCACCTCATTTTTGACCCGTTTTCTACAAAGTCAGACCGATTCCCTACTATTGGGACCATTCCGGATCCATCTACGGTGTCGGTTTTGCCAAATTCAACTCCCAAAAAGGTGATATAGTCATTTAAAGAGCAAAATGACTACAGAAAATGCACAAACACTCATCCCAAAGCTAACCAAAGACAACTATGATAGTTGGTGCATCAGATTGAAGGCATTCCTTGGTTCACAAGAGTGTATAGACATTGTGCAATATGGTTATGATGAACCAGAGTCCAAAGAATCAGAAGATGCTTTACCAGAGGTACAAAAGCAAGTCCTCAAAGCCAATAGAAAGAAAGACAACAAAGCAAAGACCATCATTTATCAAGGTCTTGATGAAGCGACATTTGAAATCATTGCTTCCGCAGAAACATCAAAAGAAATATGGGAGGCTCTCCAACAAAAATACAAAGGTGCTGACAGAATAAAGAAGATTCGTCTCTAATCTTTACGAGGTGAATTTGAATTATTACAAATGAAGTCCTCAGAATCCATTTCTGATTATCACACAAGAATTATGGTGATAGTCAATCAGATGAGAAGAAATGGAGAAGCCCTTTCAGATGCTCGAATTACTGAGAAAATTTTGAGATCCCTAGATCCAAAATTTGATTTTGTTGTTGTCGCTATTGAAGAGTCCAAAGAGGTGGACAAGTTAACAGTGGATGAACTTATGAGTTCTTTACAAGCTCATGAGCAGAAGATTATAAAAAGAAATGGAGATAAGGCAATTGAGCATGCCTTACAAGCAAAATTGTCTCTCAAAGACAGATATGAGCAAGGGGAGACTTCAACAAGTGGATACACCACTCGAGGAAGAAGTCAACAAACACGAGGAGGATTTCAACGATTTCAAGGCAGAGGTTCTTGGAATACAGGTTTTAGAGGAAGAGGTGGTAGAAACACCACCAGAGGAGGTCGAGGACAACAAGCATTCACTCCTAGAGGAAGAGGAGGCGGTTACAATAACCGTGATAAGAGGAATATTCAGTGTTATAATTGCAATCAATTTGGCCACTATAGCACTGAATGTCAAAAGAAAGCTCCACTGGAGATACGTGAGCAAGTCAACTATGCAGAAGAGAATGCCAACAACAGAGGAGCAGCTGCATTATTTGTCCAACAAGGACTTGACAAGAATCAAGAGAATATTTGGTATCTTGATTCTGGAGCCAGCAATCATATGTGTGGCCAACGAGATTTATTTGGTGATCTAGATGAGACCATACAAGGTTTTGTCACCTTTGGAGATACCTCAAAAGTTCCATTCAAAGGAAAAGGCAACATCCCAATCAAGTTGAAGAATGGCGATCAAAGCTACATCGCCGATGTCTATTATGTCCCAGATATAAAGCAGAACTTGGTGAGTATAGGTCAACTTCTGGAGAAAGGTTATACACTTTACATGAAGAATTGTCATCTGACAATTACAGACTACAATGGGAGATTAATTGCCTATGTGGAAATGTCCAAGAATAGGATGTTTCCTTTAAACATCCAATATGATGCAGCAAAGTGTTTGAGTGCCATCACCAACAGTGAAGAATGGCTTTGGCATCTGAGGCTTGGACATCTGAATTTCACAAGTCTGAAGATGCTAGCAAGCAAGAAGATGGTCAAAGGTATGCCCAATATTGATCATCCAGAAGAAGTCTGTGAGAGTTGTGTCCTCAGCAAACATCACAGATCCAGTTTTGCCAAAGAAGTCAACTGGAAAGCAAACAAGCCACTTGAGTTAGTACACACAGATGTGTGTGGTCCTATAAAGCCTATGAAGCCACTAGAGTTAATACACACAGATGTGTGTGGTCCTATAAAGCCTATGTCGACTGGACAAAATAGGTACTTCCTCACTTTTATTGATGATTTTAGCAGAAAGACATGGGTATATTTTTTGAAGAGGAAGTCAGAAGTGTTCAATTGTTTTAAAGATTTTAAAGCAATTGTTGAGAAGCAAAGTGGCTATAAGATTAGAACTGTGAGATCTGATCAAGGTGGAGAATATACAGCAAATGACTTTAAAGCCTTTTGTACACAACAAGGCATCAGACATCAGACAACACCAGCTTATACACCACAGCTGAATGGTGTAGCTGAGAGGAAGAATCGAACAATTCTTGATATGGCAAGAAGTATACTCAAAGCAAAGAAGCTGCCCAAGCAATACTGGGCTGAAGCTGTATCATGTGCAGTATATTTGCTGAACCGCTGCCCAACCAGAAGTTTGCAAGCTGTCACTCCACAAGAAGCATGGAGTGGTCACAAACCAAGTGTTACTCATCTTCGAGTCTTTGGTTGTGTGGCATATGCAAAGATCCCAGATGCAAGAAGGACCAAACTTGATGATAAAAGTGAGAAATGCATCTTTGTCGGATATGGTGAGAGAAGAATGGGATACAAGCTGTATAATCCCATCACCAAGAAGGTAATTATGAGCAGAGATGTTATCTTTGAAGAAGATAAAACTTGGCAATGGAATGATGACCAAGAAGCAGTTAAATGGATCAGCACTGATTTGATCCTTGAAGATGAAGAAGTACCAACAGTACTTGCAGAAGGTCCAATAGTACCAGAAGATGAGCCACAAAGTCCGGTACACAGATTTCCTGTATTCAACAGGAGAAACACGCCAGAATCATCATCAATACCATCATCATCAGCATCCTCATCAGAAGGACCAAGAAGGATGAGAAATCTAGAAGAGCTGTATGACGCCACTCAAGTAATGGAAGATACAACTCTATTTTGTTTCTTTGCAGATAGTGACCCACTTAGCTTCAATGAAGTTATCACAGAAGAGAAGTGAATAAAAGCAATGGATGAAGAAATACATGCCATTGAGAAGAATGATACCTGGAAGCTGACTTATCTACCAGAAAACAAGAAAGCAATAGGTGTCAAATGGGTCTATAAGACAAAGAAGAATGCAAAAGGAGAAGTGCAAAGATACAAAGCAAGATTAGTGGCCAAAGGCTACAAACAGAGAGAAGGCATTGACTATGGAGAAGTGTTTGCTCCAGTAGCCCGGCTAGAGACAATCAGATTGATGATCTCACTAGCAGCACAACATAGATGGAAGATCTATCAACTTGATGTGAAGTCAGCATTTCTGAATGGCTTCCTAGAAGAAGAGATCTATGTTGAACAACCACTTGGATACATTGATGATGAAAATGAAGGCAAAGTATACAAGTTGAAGAAAGCCCTCTACGGTTTGAAGCAAGCTCCGCGTGCTTGGAATACCAGAATTGACAGGTATTTTCAAGATAATGGATTTGAAAAATGTCCATATGAACATGCAATTTATGTGAAGAAAGAAGCAGATGGCAGCATATTATTTGTGTGCCTATATGTTGATGACTTGATATTCACCGGCAACAATCCTACCATGTTCGAAGACTTCAAGAAAAGCATGGTACAAGAGTTTGAGATGACAGACATTGGTCTGATGGCACATTTTCTTGGCTTAGAAGTGGTGCAGAAAGAAGAAGGGATTTTTGTATCCCAAAGCAGTTATGCCAAAGATATTCTTGAAAGGTTCAAGATGGAAAGCTGCAATCTGGTATCAACGCCAGTCGAGAATGGAGTGGAATTGAGGAAAAGTAAAGTTGGAAATGTTGATCCAACTTACTTTAAAAGCTTGGTAGGAAGCTTAAGGTACTTGACATGTACCAGACCAGATATACTCTACGGAGTCGGACTGATCAGTAGATATATGGAGAAGCCAGACCAGTCTCATTTGAATGCAGCCAAGAGAATTCTTCGCTACATCAAAGGCACAATAAATGAAGGTATGTTTTATACCTCAAGTACAAATTTCAATCTTACTGGCTACTCGGATAGTGATTGGGGTAGAGATCTGGATGAAAGAAAAAGTACAACAGGGTTTGTATTTTTCGTGGGAGATACATCTTTCACATGGTCATCCAAGAAGCAATCAATTGTCACGTTATCAAGCTGTGAAGCTGAGTATGTTGCCGCCAACTCAGCTGTATGCCATTTAATATGGTTAAGGAATTTGCTAAAGTTTTTGGGATTTCCTCAAGAAAATCCTACAGAGATTTATATCGATAATCGATCAGCGATTGCATTGGCAAAGAATCCGGTGTATCATGAAAGAAGTAAACATATTGATACACGTCATCACTTTATCCGAGAGCATGTAAAGACAAAGAAGTCGAGCTGATATCCTGCAAGACAGATGATCAAGTTGCTGATATCTTTACCAAGCCATTGAAAAGAGAAGTATTTATCAGATTGAAATTCATGCTTGGAATGACATCCCTCGATTGAGTTTAAGGGGGAGATTTGTTGAAGTAAACTCAATCCATAAGGTCAAGGAAGGCAGCCACCAGCTGTCACCGCCCAGCCACCAACCGACCAGCCGCCAACCACCAGCCACCAGCCGCCGGCCGCTTTCCGGCCGCTGGCCGCTTTCACACCGTCGGCCAAAAACCGCCTTCACACTTGAAGGTTGAATTTTCTTGTTTTGATTTCGTGTATAAATAGATAGCTAAGCTTATGCAATTATGTGTGGAGAGATTGAGAGAAACACTAGAGAGAAAGAGAGAAAGAAAGAGGGGTTGTTGTAAGCTTTTGTTTATGTTATTGTAAGCTTTGTTCTTGAAATAAAAGAGTGTGTTTTATCCCTTCCGAGTGTTTCAAAGCCACCACAAGTGGTTTCTCCCACCAACATTCCCTACGCTGAAGATGTTCTACAAGCCAACCACTAACAACATCGTCCAACTCCTTGGCAACACGCTTCATAGATTTCAAATGTCCTTGAAAATCCATCCATTCAGTAAAGGGAATCAAATCAGACGTTACTAATACCCCACTCAAGTAAAAGAACTCTTTGATTAATCTTCCACAAGCTCCTGAATCTTTGCCAGTACCACCACAATATCTCTTCCCCGCAATTAGTCGAAACATCACATTCGCAACTATACAGGAAAACCATTGACTCATGTCCAGCAACACGGAACCATTGCTACAAGTTGTATGCAATTCCTTGATGCATGTTTCTATTTCCGAAACTCTCACATGCTTGAGCAGCTCAAGCCTGCTGTTCGACAGAAGCTCTTGCGTTGCGATCTTTCGCATCTCAAGCCAGTATTCTCCATACGGATGGAATCCGAAGAAGGCATCATCATAACCCATGTATTTTGAAGCAGCAACACTCGGACGATTTAGGAATTTTCGGTCATTGGTTTTGAAGCATTCCTTCACAGATTCCCAGCTACTAATAACAAGCGTGCGTCTCATGCCAAGCCTTATTGAAAAAACTGGTCCATGCTTATCAGCCAGGTCTCCAAGAGTTCGGAAAAGGGGAATTTGACTATTGAGAATCCTCAAATGTCCTATCAAAGGCCATGCGCCAGAGGGTTCAGGTGGTAGTAAGGTTTTGTTTCTTTTGTGGCTGGTTGACAGTATTCTCCATATGATCATGCATAGAAGAACTAGCCCCAGAAAGAAAGTATTCTCCATATAATCATGCATAGAAGAACTAGCCCCAGAAAGAAACTTTCAATTGCTAAAACTTTCATTTTGGGTCGTGTGTGGAGAAAGAAGTGTCTTAGGTACATGCCTATAATTTGGCACCCTCTTGTATATGACATGAAGCACAAGCAAGCTGACAGTAATTAATTTTTACAATGGCATCCGATAATCAATGACGGATCAAGATGCTGACACCAACTTCACGACATCCAATAATTGTTTATATCATGCTCGAGGTCTTCATTATTATTATCTATTGAAAAATTAGGAGCAAATAACTAGATATCAACCTGGGTAGATCAATTTACAATTTATAAGTTCTAATTTTTTTTCTTTTTGTACAATCAAAATTAGAATCAAATAATCAACAAAAATAATATAACAATCACATAAATTAACATCAAGATATTTTTATGTGGAAAACTTGATGCGGAAAAAACCACGGGACCGTAGTCCACTTAAAAACTCCCACTATCAATAAATAATGGATTCACAACTGTTCTTTCTTAGATTCAACTAAAAGCTACAATATACATATTATTAAGAATAACCTATTCTTGAAATACAACAAGATTAAAGAGAGAAATATTTGGGAAAAGCTCACAACATTGACAGCTCTATTTTCTATCAAAACAACTAGCTTTCACACCACTAATCTTCGATCTAATTGTTCAAAATGAAGAATAATGTGTCTAGAAGCTGCTGTCAATATCTCATCTCAATCCAACAGTGAACGAGCTGGAAATTGAAGAAAGAAGATAATCAATTCAGTTGTCTCAACTTCCTTTCTTTCTCCTATTTTTCTCTTCTCTCTTTTGTTAAAATTGCTACTGTCTCCTACAATAGCAAACATAATTAAATCAGAGAGGCAGCCCATTGCCTCTCTTCTTAATTAATATGGTGGTCCCACCATCACATGGTGCGGGACCACACACAACAAATTTCCCTCTCACACATTATGTGAGGAATTCGCCATACTAGTGATCAACATGTAAGCTTCAATTTAGGAGGCTTTACCAAGCCTGCTTCCCTTCTGCAAAATTCAAACTTCTCTCTCGGTAGAGGTTTGGTCATCATGCCTGACATGTTGTTATCGGTATGAATCTTTTAACAACAAATGACTTCATCTCCATAGCATCTCGAATCCATTGATATCTAAACTCAATGTGCTTTGATCGAGAGTGAAAAGTAGGATGCTTACTAAGATGGATTGCACTTTGACTATCACAGTGCAACACAAAGTTCTCTTGAACTAGGCCAAGTTCATACAAGAACTTCTTCATCCATAACAACTATTTTCCCCCTTCAGTAAGAGCAATGTATTCAACCTCTATAATAGATAATACAATATATTTTTGTAACCTTTATTACTATGAGATTGTTCCTCCTGTAAACTTTATTAAGTATCCTGATGTGGACTTTCTAGAATCAACATTACCAGCCATATCTGCATCTGTGTATCCATCTAGCACAGGTTTATGATTACCAAAACATAAGCTGAAACTAGAAGTACCTTTGAGATACTTGAGTATCCATTTCACTGTTGACTAGTGTTCTTTACCGGGATTGGAGAGGAACTGACTAACCACACTAACTACATGAGCTATATCTGGCTTTGTGCAAACCATGACATACATCAAGCTACCAATTGTCGATGCATAAGGAACATTTTTCATCTCATTCTTTTCTTCATCACTTGAAGGACACTGCTTATAACTTAGTTTAAAGTGGCCTGCAAATGGAGAACAAACATGTTTGAAGTTGCTCATGTGGACTCTTTCAAGTACCTTTTAAATATATCTCTCTTGAGATAGCCAAAGTTTCTCGTTTTTCCCATCACGTATGATCTTCATGCCAAGAATTTGTTTTGTCGGTCCTAAGTTTTTCATTGCAAAAGACTTGTTTAACTCTTTTTTTAGAATCCAAATCTTCTCAGCATTATGGTCAACAATCAACATATCATCCATATATAATAAAAGAATAATAAAGTTTTCATTTGAAAACCTTTTCATAAATACACAATGATCAGAAATGATTCTGTCATAACCATGATCCACCATGAAAGAATTAAAATTCTTATATCATTGTCTTGGAGCTTGTTTTAACCCATATAGGCTCTTTTTCAACTTGCAAACTAACTGCTTTTTACCTTTTGTTTCAAACCCTTTAAGCTGCTCCATATAGATCTCTTTATATAAATCACTGTAGAGAAAGGTAGTTTTCACATCAAGTTATTCAATTTCAAGATTCAAACTAGCAGCTAAACCAAACACAACTTAGATTGAAGACATCTTGACAATTGGTGAAAAGATTTCTTCAAAATCAATATCCTTCTTCTGACCAAAACCTTTTATAACCAATCTTGCCTTATACCTTGGTTGTGAGCAATGTTCATTAATTTTCAACTTAAACACCCATTTGTTCTTGAGTGCTCTCTTACCTTTAGGAAACTTTACTAACTTAAAAGTATGGTTTTCATGCAAGGATTTCATCTCTTCTTGCATTACTTTCAACCACTTACTTTTCTTCTCATGTGACATAGCTTTATCAAAGCATTTTGGCTCTCCTCCGTCAGTAACCAGCATATACTCATGAGAAGAATATTTGGTGAAAGGTTGGCGTGGCCTAGTTGACCTCCTCAATTGTGGCTCATCTGAAACTTCTTGCATATCCTATTTAGGAATAACATTAATATCATTATTAGGTGATTCAGGATCACCACCTAATGGTTCAATAAGAAAACCATCATTATTATCATTTTTCAAATCTATCCCATGATTAGCAGGCATAAAAAGTAACTGTGGAGTATATCTTGAATTTGAATTAGATGTAATAAAAGTAGTAGACTCTATTTTATCCTTCTATTCAAAGTTTTCAATGGTTTGATCTTCAAAGAAGATAACATTTCTACTTCTCACAATTTTCTTCTCCTTTGGATCCCACAATCTATAGTCAAACTCATCATTTTTAGAGCCCAAGAAAATGCACTACTTTTTCTTGTTATAAAGTTAAGACCTTTCATCTTAAGAAACATATATAAATGTTCTACATCCAAACATTCTCAAGTGTGCATAAGAAACATCCTTTCCTTTTCAAACTCTATTTAGAACATCAAAATCAAGAGGAACTTATGGAGAAAGGTTGATCATGGCAACTACAGTCTTCATTACCTCACCCTAAAAGGACTTAGACAGCTTTGCATGAGAGAGCATACATTTAATTCTTTCAACAATAGTTTTGTTCATTCTCTCAGCCATTTCATTCTATTGTGGAGTTTTAGGAATTGTCTTCTAACTTGATACCATATTCCTTATAGTATTTCTTAAAAGAACCCTTGTATTCACCACCATTGTTAGTTTGAATACATTTCAACTTTCTACCAGTTTCTTTTTCAACTCTAATATGGAAATCCTTAACGACATCAAACACCTAATCTTTAGATTTCAAACATATAGCCCAAACTTTCTTGGAGTGATCATTAATGAAACTAACAAAGTACAATACACCTTTAAGAGACTTATCAATCATAAAGTAAACATCAATATGAACTAGATCAAGAATATGTGATCTTCTATGTGAATATGATCTTTGAAACACAACATTATGTTGTTTACCAACTAAATAATAAATACATATGTTCAAGTTCATACCTTTTAATGGAAGGTAATTCTTCTTGACAAGGATACCAAGGCCTTTTTTACTTAAATTTCCAAGCTGTTTATACCATAAACCACTAGAGCAATCTTCAATTGTATTAACCTCCCCTTTGATCACTTTAGCTTATTATGTTTTAAAAATATATATTTTAAAAAAATTATATATATTTTTTACTTTAAATTAATTTTTAGAATTTTTTAAAATTGTTTTGATGAATTTTTCTCTTGCTTTAGATTTTTTTAAATTAATATTTTAATTTTTTTGAATGAAAAATAATTATTATCCCATTCTAAATTAATATTATAATTTTTTTATTTAAAAGTAATTTTTCTCCTGTTCTTATTTTCTTTTTATTTTTTTAAATCATTTTCACTGTTTTTTATTTTATTTTCTTAACTTGTTCACATATGACCTATACAAGAAAGTAAAATTTAAAAGCACTGAGATTTTTTAGAAGTCCAATCACTTAAATAGAATGAATAAAAATGGGTGCATTCAAATAGAAATAAATAAAAATACATACAATAAGACACAATTCGAAATATAAAGTATAATTAATGTTCATACCCGACACTTGATTTGAAAAATAAAATAAAATTAAGAACACATAAAATAAAAGTTGGTGCACTCAAATAAAAATAAATAAATAAAAGTTATAATTAGCTCAATTACTGCCCTTTCTCCTCTCTCATTCATTGCAGGAAAATAACAGTAGAATCTGGCGTTATCTACTTAGGGTTTTTCTTCATTGATCAGTCAGCAACTAACCAATTTTCCCATAAAACGTACCATAATTTTGCAATTTATCACTTTAGCAACTTAATATAAACTTAATATAACGAGTACAGTTCATCCACATGTGAAACATCTTAGTGTTTGGATATTGAGTTGAACTTGATTTTCAATAAATTTTAATTTTTTTTGTTCTATATTAATTTTTTTTAGTGTTATTAAATCGTTTTAATATAATGTTATCAAAAATAAATTTTAAAAAATAAAAAAAATATTATTTTAATACATTTTAAAATAAAAATACTTTAAAAAACCAAATTTTATTAATTTTTACTACAAATAAATAGGTGCTATATTCCATAATTGAAGCTTGCTTGGAAATATAGTAAAGATTGATCTTTAATTTTTTTTTTATAAAAATATATTAAATATTTTTTTTTTAAAAAATATTTTCATATAATCAAATCAAAATAATTTAAAAATAATAATAAAAATTCTAAAACCAAAATTTCAAAAACACAGTTAGATTAGATGGCAATGCCAAACAAGTTATTGATCCAAAAGAAAAACGATGATGGGACATTACAAAGTTACTTTCCAAATTAAGAGATAATCATCACTCATAAACCAGTAATTCCTACTCATACTGACATCTAACAATAAGATCGATTACCAAATCCTGCCCTGGCTATTATGAGTCCACTTAATTAGTACAAATAATTCAGAAATCATTAAAGAAAAATATGTAGACAATTTTAGTAAA